AGAGTATGCTGTGAAAAGAGTACTTGGATGGGGTGTTGTAGGTATGAGCAAGCATTGAGAATCGAAGTTGTGTACAACATCCTTGAGGACTGCCACTAAAGTATCCGAAGTGATAGAGGCACTTCAAAGTGATTTCGTCGACCTGGGAAACTTAAAGAATGATGGTGCAGCGCTCTCAGTTGAGGATAAGAGATTCATGAAAATATTAAATGAAAACAAAGAAGTGGTTGATGGTCACTTGCAGTTGCCACTTCCTTTTAAGTCTGATATCACCAAGCTTCCAGACAACAAAGTTGTAGCGTTCAAGAGTAAAATTTAAGAAGAAAGAAAGGTTCGCAACACAATACAAGGATTTCATGGACTGCCTTGTAGATGAGGGCCAGGCGGAAGCTGTACCAGAAGGGGAGACTGCTAATGCTGGCTGGTACCTACCCCATCATGGAGTCTACCATAATCATAAACCTGAAAAATTAAGAGTGGTACTTGATTGTGCGGCAAGATACCAAGGAGTTAGCTTGAATGATGTACTACTTCAAGGGCCCAACTTAATGAATAGTTTGATAGGAGTTTTGCTTCGCTTTCGAAAGGAAAGAATTGCCTTCATAGGTGACATTAAAAGCATGTTCTATCAGGTCCAGGTAGCCCCACAACATAGGGATTTCCTACGATTTCTATGGTGGGAAAGTAGTGATGTTAATAAAGCACGAAAGGAGTTTCGAATGTTAGTGCATGTATTTGGCGCTAAATCATCTCCGGGATGCGCCAACTACAGTTTGAAGGATGTAGCAAAACGGTTATCAGACAAGTATGGCCAAGATGCATCAAAGTTTGTCCAAAACAACTGTTATGTGGATGACGGCTTGCAGTCAGTTGAGACAGCGGATGTGGCAATAGGTAGCCATGTTGAAGGAGGGAGGATTCAAATTGCATAAATTCCTCTCAAATTCAAAACATGTTTTGAAAGCTCTACCAGATGATTGCATCGCATCTAATGTCGGCCAGAAGGACATGAATAATCTACCCACAGAACATACTTTGGGAATACTGTGGGACCCTACTCACGACGTATTTACATTTGAAGGCAACATGAAAGAGAATCCTCCGACAAGAAGAGGCATTCTATCGACTTTGTCTGCTGTGTTTGATCCACTTGGATTAACTGGTCCCTACATTTTACAGGGGAAGCGAATCCTCCAGAATGTCTGTGCGGAAGGAAAGGACTGGGACGAACCATTAAATGACGATACAATCCAACATTGGATAGCTTGGAAAGAGCAACTTCAGTACCTCAGCAACATTAAAATTAGCAGATGCTATAAGGCTCCTTATGCAACTGGAAATGTGTCTTCTGTTGAACTTCACCACTTTAGTGATGCATCCACTTCAGGATATGGTCAGTGTTTGTACCTAAGACTAGTGCACGAAGATGGAACTGTAAGAGTATCACTTGTCATGAGCAATTGCAGAGTAACACCCTTAA